TTCTTTTTTTTTTATATTTTATTGTACTTCAGGTGAAGGCTTACAGAACAAATAGTTTCTCATGAAACAGTAGTACACATGTTGTTTTATGACATTTGTTAACAACCCCACAACATATTAACCCTCTAAATTCTCAACCTTTTTTTTTTTTTTGATGAAAATACACATAGCCAAAGATACACCTTTTCAAAAATTTCTACATACACAGTTCAGTGACATTGACTACGCTCTTCCAATTGTGCTGTTATTCTCACTTAAGATGAAGGCTTACGGAACAAAATAGTTTCTCATTTAACAGTTACTACAAATGTTGCCCTATGACAATGGTTAACAATCTCACAACACATCAACAATATCCTTACTCAACCTTGTGTTCCCTATCACCAGCTTCCTTGTCCCCTTCTGCCTTCTGGCCCTTGTCACTGGACTCCTGTACCTCGTTAGTCTCATTTGGTTTTACAGGGCTGTCCATGTATCCTTATTCTTAATAATATATCTATCACATAGGAATTGCTCAATGAATGTTTGTTGACCAACTAAATGAATGAACAAATGGTCCTAATGGTCCTAGTATTTAGTCTGTTTTAAACTTAGCACACTATATTGTATCTTCTAAAAGGTTATCTTTTTGAGAGCAAGGATTAATTTTTATTTTAATATTTATAGTGCCTTGCATGGTGCCTTCCATGTAAAACATATTTGATGAATGAATGTGTGTACAGTGCTATTGTGTAATACTTCCCAACCCTGGGGGAAAAAAATAATAAAAAACCTATGATTGTGAGAATCATTTACACTGTGAACAGTAGAATGACAGAAACCTTTTAGCTCTTGCTCTGGATTCAGAAGAACATGCTATTTTGAATGAAACATTTAGGTCAACATTTTATTTAGATTAATCAGTTCTTACCCTGCTACACAGTAACTTGTTCTGAGGATTAAATGCCTAAGTGTCTATATAAGCACTTTGTAAACCCCAAAGCACTCTAAACAGTTGTAAGCCCCTGATACACAAAATATTCCCCACTCTTGCTGGTGATGAGATGGCTTGAGAAGAAAATCTGTAGAGTTTTCTTTGTTAAGTGTTTGTCACTGTTCAAATTCTTTATAGTTACAATTGATATAATCAATTTGAGGTATAGTCATCCAGTATATTTGACTCACTTGCTCAGGATATTCTGGAATGAAATATGTCAAGATGCTTAAGTCAGAAAAAGACAACCAAGGAAGATGAGAGATTTGGAGACATCAACCTGTCAAAACAGCAGAATATTTTTAAAAGATATAAACCCACTGATAGTTTTGTCTCCAAAGAGGACATGTTTTCCAGGATCAACACTGCAGATCCTTGAATCCTGTTTAGGTGATGTATCAGTAATCTCCCAGTATAAACATCGAGATAGATGGATGGGATAGAACAGGAAGAGAAAACTCTGTCTTTGTTATTAGCTAGGAAATTTGTCACTAACTTCTATTTTAAATCCTTGCTTGGAGAACTAAACTGGAGCTTTAGGGAATTCTAATGTTCTCTCACATACTTCAGACATGTTATCAGGAGGGACCAGTCCCTGGAGAAGGACATCATGCTTGGTAAAGTAGAGGGTAAGCAAAAAAGAGGAAGACCCTCAACAAAGTGGATTGACATAGTGGCTGCGACAATGGGCTCAAGCATAACAATGATTGTGAGGATCGCATAGGACAGGGCAGTGTTTCGTTCTGTTGTACATAGGTTCACTATGAGTTGGAACTGACTCAACGGCACCTAACAACAACAATGTTCTCTCTGGATTTTTGTCTCAAGATCTAACCTAGAGGCATGCTTAAGTGTACCCTTTCCCCTAGTAGTCATACAGGTTCTAGCTGTCTTTCTAAGGGTGGGGAGCTGCCAAACAGGAGGCACCCCAAAACAATGTCTTACCACCGGATCTACATTAAATGTTAGCAAGAACGATAAGGAGAATTTTTAACCATTTTACTTCTTCATCTATTGAGATCTTCTTTAGAAGCAGGGAAAAACAAAAACAAAAAGCCAAACCTGTTGTTGTTTAGTTGATTCTGACTCATGGCGACCCTATAGGATGGAGGAGAACTGCTATATAGGATTTACAAGGAGACTGGTGGATTCAAATTGCCGACCTTTTGGTTAGCAGCCATAGCTTTTAACCACAATGCCACCCATCCAAAGAAGGACATATTAAATTCTCAGGAGGAATATAAGATTTTCGAAAAGATCCATGGGTAATATTTGCACTCCCTTTCCCCGCATTGGAATTGTGGATCTAATACCTGTTGCTGTCCAGTGGATTCTGACTCATAGTGACCCTATAGGATAGAGTAGAACTGCCCCACAGGGTTTCCAAGGAGCTGCTGGTGGATTCCAACTGCTGACCTTTTGGCTAGAAGCCGAGCTCTTAACCACTGCACCACCAGGGCTCCGTGAACCTAATACAACCCTGTCATTTTACAGATGACAGAAGCAAGGTTTGAAGCGCTAAGTGACTTTCTCAGAGTTCTACAGATAGACATACGGGTACACTATCCTGAAACCCAAGGTCCTAACTTCTATTTCAGTCTTACTTTTTTTCTATTTACACTCTATGGCTTAAAAGAATATATTCGTATGACATCTGCCTTCAGTAGGCCTTTTTATTTGTCTGTCCCTGTGTAATCATATTGTTAATCTGCCTGATTAAAACACTAAGGCAAGGCCTTAGTTCAAAACTCAGGTAATCATGGAATAGGAAACAGACTCACACAGATTTCCATCTTCCTTTATCTCATGGTGTGCATCCATAGATGTTAAAACACACCTTATTTATGCCCCTCATCACATTTTATGCATATTTTTATTCTTCTACCAAACATAGTTTATTTACTGAATTTTGTCTCTACTGTGTGCTCCATAAAGATACACAATATCTAGATATGAAATAAGCTTATTACTACTACTAGTAGTAATAACAACAATTATCACTTATGCCAAAGGAGACATTCCTCACATTAACAGTTTGATATGGATTCTCATCATTAGAAATAACAATCATTAGCATTTTAATAATGTTTTAGAATTTCAAAAAGCTTTAACTCTACATGTAGGTAGATTTTATTTATCTGGCTTAAGCTGAAACAGAGAAGAAGTGTCATGTTATTTTGTGTACTCTCATTAATAGCATCTTTGCAAATTGTGATAATGATCGGATAATGTGATAATGATCTGTATCTGTCACCTGATAAGATTCCTGTGAATTAGGCAAGGCGCTAACACTGTTCTACAGATGTAACTACCAAGACTTAGAGCATGTCATGGCAATGAACATGTGGCCAAGCTTAGCTTGAAATTGTGGTTGTCTGACACCAGCCCAATGCACCTTATGTACCCTGCAGTTGCTGTATGTCATATTTTGATTTAAAGAAGAAAACTGAACATAGAGATTGATGATATAAGTTTATTTTTATGGTGAATTTATCAATAATCACTCATACAGCCTTCTGGGCTTAATGACGCCTTAAAAATAGATCACCTAAATAAAAGTTGCTCTAAAAAGCTTACAAATCACAAAAAAATAATTCTTAGCATGATACAAGTACTGAATTCAATATTTTATTCCCATTAAATCAGAGATGATAGCATCATTGATAAAATGAAATTAGGTTGGTGGGTGACATGCCTTATCACCATTAAAGAGAAAATAAATTCCAGAGGCAGCTTCTTATAGGAAAAGGAACATGCTTGAGCAAAAGAGTCTTTAGCATACTGATGCTGAAATTCGAGCTTTGCTGCTTTTTAGTAGGGGGACGTTTAGGCTTATTTATGCCTTATTTATATGCTGCTTAACCTCTCAGCGTCAGTTTCCTTCCTTGTAAAATGGGAATAATAATATTTATATCCATGTTTATTGCAGGAACTACTGATAATATAGAGTCCAGAACAATCCTTGGCAAACTTAGTAGCTTAATAAGTCACAGCTATGGTTTTTATGTGTTTTTTTATTAACATTATTATTAATATAACTATATTATCATTCAGCATACGATAAAAGATTAAAAAATGCTTTATTAGAGCTCTTACATCCTTTTTAAAGGAGCCCTGGTAGCGCATTGGTTAAAGGATCAACTGCTAGCCCAAAGGTTGGTGGTTTGAAACCACCAGCGGCTCCTCGGGAGAAAGATGTGGCAGTCTGCTTCCATAAGGATTTACAGCTTTGAAAACCCTGTGGGGCCACTACTCGAAATCGAGTAGAAGGTTTTACACCCTTTTTTATTACAGGGGTAGAGCAGTATTATTGGTTAAAGAGAAGCCCTTAATTCTTTCTGAAAGGCCAATTAAAAGTGAAAATACAACGATTTATGGAAAATACAACATAAGAACAGGTCAGTTAGAGATAAATTTCTTATGTAAAAAGTACTGCCTGATAGATGGCTTAGAATGTCAGACCTTTGGCTTCTTGAGCAAATTGTTCATTTCCCTGCACCTCAGTTTCTGATATAACAAAAAAAGCCTCTGAGATCTATCCCATCCAACTCTACATTCTTGGGTTCTATGAAATGACCTAGAGAGAACCACTAGCAGTAGAACACAGTCTGGGAGGGGAGAGAAGTAAACAGGTCTTTTTATACCTTGACTCAAGTGCTCTCACAAGGGGTCAGCATGTATCAGTTTGTTTGGGAGTCTGGAGGAAAGGAGACCAATTCAGCCTCTGGGTTAGGATAGTTCTTAGATGGCTCTCTTTGTGTCCTGGAAGACCATCTGCTGAGGAAGGCTGTTGCAAAAAAACGAGTTCTTAGAGTAACAACAAAAAGTAAAGGACAATTTTTTATGCCTTGCTAAGAGTAGAAATTGTGTACCTAGTTTTCTGCAGCACTGCACCAAAAATTCATTCTCAAAGACTTTGGCTATACTTGTAAATATGGTAATAAACATATTGATGATAAACATGTCAGCTAATATATGTTGCTACACATAATATATAGAACATAACATCATTTTTACTTATTTGCAGCAAAACGAAGGCAAATGCCCAGCCCAGAATTGTTCAGTGGAAGCCCCTGCTTGGATGCCTGTCCACCACTGTACTGTAAGTTTGATTATTTCATTCTGAGATTGACCAGATTGAAGGAAAAAATGTTTTTATATTTGAAACAACCTTAGTGAAGTAGGCTAGAAAACTTTGAAATTCTGGAGTAGAGCAAACCTTTTGAAAGGAGAAAGAATGTCTTTTCAGAAAGCTCGGCATTATAAAAATACCTGTGCTTAGGGATTCTATGAATTTTTTGGAGTCAGGATAACTTGAAAAGGATTTCTCTAAAAGGCTTATTGATGAGTTAGATTCCGATGGTCATTAAAATGAATATATTTACACATATATTTTTCCAAAAGGCTGCATATTCAGCAATATTTGATTTTAGATGCCTCAGAGAATGATACTTCCTGTTCTGTCATTTTTATGTTGACTGCTTAATACTGATGACTACAAGGCTTTGCAATTTTCAGGTCTTACTGGTATAATAATAGTCTCCGAATTTGTGTGGAATATTCCATCAGAGAATTTTCAAGTGCCTTAGAAACAAGCAGGTACTATGCCATTATCGCTGTGTTTCAGATGGGAGACTTAAATGCAAAGGAAGGAAGAATAGTGCATCAACTGTAGAGCTGGAAACAGATTTCAGACACCCTACCTCTCCTTTTATGCACTCATTCTACTACACTGTGTTCTGAAGTAAGTGAAGAAAGTGGCTAATTTCCATGATACTCTCTTATACATGTATTAGCTGACAGAAATAACCATGGTTCCTCTGGGAACTGTATGTGCTGTAACTGAGTTTGCCTGTCATGAAATAATTTGTGTATGTTGGGAGCAAGAAATTTGAAGGTTACTTTTTGGGCATTTTCCTCATTTCACTCACCTTGTAGGCAATTCAATAGTGATACGTAGAGTTTCTTAAATATCATCATCTATTGTGGAGGTACAAGCTGCTGAAAGGAGCGGGCTGGATTGCCACAGCATTGTTTATGACTTTGCTATAAGGCAATAGGGCTGGTGGAGACTGTTTTACGCTTAGATTGTATAAGAGAATAAAGCTTCTTTCCTTGTTTTGTGTTTGTCTGTGGAAGGAAGAGAAGGTGGGATCACCTTTATTGAAGAAGAGATAATGTAGCTAAATTATGGAGGCATTCCTACAGTGCAGAGGCAGGAGAATAAAAATGTCACACTTTTGTGAGCAGATAGATGGTCAGAGAGAAGTGCATGCTTAGGGACTGTGCTGATGCCAGAGAAAGTATGAGTTTTAATAATTCTATTTCCACATCTATGGCTCCTTTTACTGTATCCCTGATGATATTATCTCTTAATTATGGATTTATGCATTTATTCCTCAAGGAGACTGTGTGTTCTTCAGGGTTCTAATATACCTGTTAACCGTACACCAAGGTAAATCCCTGGTACATTGTAGGAGCTCCGTGAATTGAAGGTTTTATGAGTGAATCTTTAATCTGTCGATTTCTCTTTAAAAAGTTTTAGTGAATTATTTTATAACTTTCCGATTTCTTGACAAAGAGGAATAATGACACTATTTTACATTTTTAGGTGGGTGGTTTCCACATCTCACTTTAATGGGTCCTATTATGTTTTTTCCTTCACAGAGTACCATGTAGTAACATATATATTGAAGAATTTTATTTTCACACTTGGCAAAATTTGGTAGTTCAATTCAGCTCTATTGAGTACCGTGCCAATCACTGGAGATAAAAGGTGAATAAGGGAGAGGTCCCATTTTACCAAACCCACCAGTGTGTAATAACAATCAGAATTTCTGATTAGCAGATGATCCTCCACTACTCTGATAATTTCACCCCAAAATAATACAACTTTCACATTTTGGTTACTTTTTGCGTCCTTATTGCAAGTAAATGCATTATTTGAATTCTGTCTCTAGAAATACTAAAAATAGCTTACTCTATGTTATTATTTGGAACTGGACCCCTTAGGAATATGGGGATCTCAGATTAGGCCCTCCTGTTGTAGGACATTTAAAGACTAAGCAGGTGACTCTTCTTAAAGATCATGAGTCAGAAGTATCAACATTAAAGTCTGATTCTTCTTTCTTTGGTCACGGCAGGGCATCAGAAAGTACGTTTCTTCTCACTTCTGCCATGGAATTGAGAGCTGCTGCTTTTATACATTTCCTTTGTCACTTACTTAAAAGTATTTACATATCCTAGTGGGGCATATGATTTCTGGAGGAGTTGTACAACCAGGGGTGGATTATCCAAGCACGGTGCTTACCTTGCTTACCAGATCATCTGTAGTGAACAATTTCATATTTTTTCACCATGTCAAAATTCTGAATTGGCCTAATAATGTGTTCAGTGCTTCAATTCTGTCTCCTAGTTTGTTGCGTAGTGTCTGGGGTCTTAAAATCTTGCAAGCAGCCATCCTTGGCACAATTGGTCTGTATTCACCTGGAACAACACAGAAAGAAGGAGAGTCAGGAATAGGAGGAGGATATGGAATGTGTGGCTACTTGCCTCCATGAACAACTACCTCCTTTGCTATGAGACCAAAGATCGTGCGTGGCTACCATTACTCAGGAGCCCTGGTGGTACAGTGGTTAAGAGCTTGGTTGTTAACCAAGAGGTCGGCAGTTAAAATCCAACAGCCGCTCCTTGGAAACCCTATGAGGCAGTTCTACTCTGTCCTGTAGGGTTGCTATGAGTCGGAATCTACTTATAGCAATGGGTTTTTTTTATTTTTTATTTTTTTACCATTACTAAACATTTTGATTTCGTAGAAGAATTGTGATAGGGGAGATGCAGGACATAATTTCAAATTCTCATGGACCCTAGACTTTCTAAAGCCATGAAGGGTGGATGAACCCCTGAAACTATTGCCCTGAGATAATCTTTGAACCTTGAACCAAAAATATCTCCTAAAATCTTCTTAAAACTGAACAATAGTTTAGCTTAACTAATAAAAAAGTCTGCCTTAAGCATTATGTTCAAGAACTATCTATATGGGATCAAATTGACAATAGCAACTGGAAAGATTGGATGGGAACCTTAGGGGGCAGTGAGTTTATGTCAATGGGGAAAGAACAACTCAGAAAAACAGGATGAGAATGGTTGCACAACTCAAAGAATGTAAATCAGTGTCACTAAATTGTACATGTAGAAACTGTTGAATTGGTGTATGTTTTGCTGTGTATATTCTGAACAATAACAAAATAAATAAAATTTAAAGAAAAAAAAAAAAAGATTCTGTTTCTTGTGGCCAGAGCCTATCTCTCTCTCTCCCAACCCTACAGCACCTCCCTACAGAATCAAATCCTCTTTTTAAATTAACAGTCCCTGGCAGGGGCAGATGATCCAGTAAGCAAGGTATGCATGGGCTTACTTGTGCTTACTTGCTAATCTGTAGTGAACAATTTCACTACAGATGATCTGGTAAGCAAAGTAAGCACCGTGCTTACCTTGCTTACTGAATAATCCGCCTCTGTGTACAGCCCATAATGCAAGCACAGAGGTGGGCTCTCAGTGGCCATGCTTGGGCTATGTGAACTTGCCCCTGGCCATGACTGACTGACCCAGGGGTAGACATCTGATCCTAGCTGAGGTAGCTGGAGTCTCTTCTTGGGATTTGGAAATCTGTGCTAGAGACATACCAAACTGATAGTCATCGATATCAAATTATATAAATAATAATACTTACAAAAAATTCTGTGAACTTTAGATGCTGAGCCCCCTGGAACTACTCTTTATCTGCCCTTCTGATGTTTCACTTACTTGAATCTTCCTTTGATCTTGTAAAAATGTCTCAATTATCTCCCAATAATCAGTAAATTACTTTTGTTCCCCTCAGTTTAGCTATATTTTGTTTTATCCTGTTTGTTTTGGGGAGTTTAATGTTCTTTTATTTGTTTGCCACCAAAACAAACAAACAAACAAAACGAAACAAAAACAAAAACAAAAATCCTTAACTAATATACCCAGTTAGCAACATTTACTGAGCCCGCACAAGAGGTAATGTGATGAGTTATAGTCTTAGACAAAAAGAAACAATCAGAACACTGGAATTTTGATTATAATAGTCTATTCAGTCCAAATATGTGACTATATGCAATACCTGGGTAAATAAAAAGATGACCAAAGAATAATGTGATAATGACTTAATTTATATTATAGAATGAGAAATATGGGCAGTTAGCTTAAATATATATATATTCAAAAAACTACATCTGATATGTAATGTAGTTCTGATATTAATTTCCATTTTCTCACCTCTCAGGACATAGTGAATATCATAGCCTCATGTGTTTAAGAGAATATCTTGACTGTCTCAAATCCTCCAACGACTGAAGCAGGTTATAAATAAATTAATATATACTTACATGCATAATAAATGGATAGTCTCGGTTATCTTTGTGCATTTTTCAAGTTTAGCTGGTTCTCTCCTACATTCCTGTCCCCACTGCCCTATTCTTGCTCCTTGCTGGACTATTCTAGAATGATTATATCCATGTATTTGGGTTTTATTACTCTTTGGAAAATAAGTATTAGTCTTCGTGTGCGCATTTGCCCCAAGTTCATTTTAAGCGCAGAGAGTTTATCATTGGTTTTCCTAAGACTTGTCTCTCCAAATTGCTTGCAAATGCCTGTCACCAGTGACATAACTTACATATTGCCTTGAAAAGGGCTTCTGTAACTATTTGTTTAGTCTCTTTCTGGATGCGCTCTCTCTCTCTTTTTTTTTTTTTTTTTTTTTTGGCACTCCACACATTTATAGTAATGGGAGTGAGAGGTATTTTTTCTTTTTTTTTATTGTCTTCTTTTTTAAAAAATTTTTTTTATTGTACTTCAGGTGAAAGCTTACAGAACAAATAGTTTCTCATGAAACAGTAGTACACATATTGTTTTATGACATTGGTTAACAACCCCACAACATATCAACCCTCTA